CATAAAACGTTACAAGTACAAGGATCCTCCCAGTCGGAGAAGAGGAGGATCCTCAGCACTAATCCATTTTTTCAAATGTGTTTCATTGAGGTCGCTTGGATATAAGATACGAGCGTGATTTGTCTTTTTTTGTTCTTGTGTATTCGTTATTAATTTGTTGTATCAATGTCATATTTGCAAGTTCGTTGTTGTATTAATAAATTTATCGTAATAAAGTTTAATTACCCATGTTTGAGGTACTATCAACTAAAGAGGCAGAAAGAACCCTCAGTTTTTGTCACGATTGAAGAAAATCGGCGACACAAATTGGAAGGAATATATCAAATCGGATGGCCATGGTAAGAATCAAAGGATAAATGAAGATGTCTGTGTTTCGGCGCTTCATGGCATTAATCAAGAGACTTCAGAATAATGAAATATTGTTCAAACAGTATGGTGAAACTATTCAAGATCAACTTAAATCGGAAATTATGGAAGAAGATCCCGAAATGGATCAAGAAGTGTCATTCACTATTTGCTACATCACGGGGTTATAACCCCAGACAAGACGACGGGGCTGAGGATTATTCCTGATGCTTCGGCACAAATAAGTACGAAAACCTTAAACGTGGACTTGTAACGCTTCCTGATTTAGTCAGGATACTCCTCCGCTTTCGAATGATGAGAAGGCATTTTTACAACTAGAATTGCATCCGGTTAACAGGAACACTACACCAGATTTCTCTAGATAAAGGATATTGAAAAGTTAGCCAGTGAAAAAAAAAATGTATAGTGCTATTGCTTCAGAAGAGTCCCCTTTGGAGTAATCGCATCACTTTTCCTGCTTTCTACAACACTGAATCACCATTTAGAAACCAATACCAATAAAACTGAACTGGAGATCAGAAAAAATTTGTACGTGGACAACATTATATTGTCAGCTAAAGGAATGAGAGAAGTGTTCTAGAAATACTATGAAATGAAGAGTATTTGTAAAGGAGCAGCAATGAATATTAGGGAATTTTTCTCTAGCGAAGAAAACTTCAACAAAGAGATAGCCAAACAAGACCGAGTCATTGGAAACCCAACGTAAATTCTCGGCATCATTTGGATACATGACAGAGACATAATTAAGGTGACATTTAAACCGTAGAATGAGCAGAAGGTCACAAAATGAAGCATTATACGATTTATGCCATCTCAGTACGATCCTATAGGATTTTTAGTCCCCGCGATGATACTACCCAGATTACTTCTTCAAAATCTATGGAAAAGGGAAAGAACATGGGATGGAATTCTAAACCGACGAAGAAATGTGGAAGTCTCTCATCAAAAAGTGGCCAACAGAGTTATCGAAATACCGCGGGTGGCAATAAACTCTACGGAACGAATGTAAATTCATGTTTTTACGAACACTTCAAAGGTAGCATATGCAACAGCGATACATGTTCTAAGCAGCAGTGCTTTTCGCGAAACCTAGACTGATCCAATTAAAGGAATGAGCATATATTGATTGGAAATGCTTGCGATACCTATTGGAGTACAAGCAACAAAGCTCGTCATACAGCAATTAGAACTAAACGGGTGCGCAATAACCTTTGGTGCACAATAGTTGTTTGCAGCATTTAAACATTTCCAGCCTGTCACTAACACACATTAGCATAGGTTCGAAAGCAATAAACGCCCATCTGCGCATCAATAAACAACCGCAAATATACATGCATTGTCTTAAGGAAATATACATTCGCAAATTGTAACTTCTATTAAATTAACAAATGCACGTTTGCATACTATTAACTTGTGAAGACGGGCATTTGCGCTATCTAGAGATTCAACAAATACATTTATCAATATTATTATAGAAATTTTCATGATATTAAAATTTTGAAACACAAAAATTTCAGAGAAAAACAAAATTTGGTTTCGAACATTTAAAAATAACAGATGTAGTGACCACAGTTAAATTATACAAAAGATTGATATTACATTGTTGTCGATGCAAAGTAAAACTGGATACTCAAAACCCCTTATCACTTCCTGCTCCAGTCAGTTCTTCTTCCGTTGCATTCGAAAAATGTGGGAAATAGAGCACTGATCTACAAATATCGGGAAGGATTCCGCTGCGGAAGTATAAAAAGCACTGTTATTAAATCTCTGACCATCAGTGGATCCATCGTTTTTTTTTAGCATTTAAAAATTGCTCTTAGATATTGCGTCTATCAGTAAGGATTTCGAGCGCTAATGTCGGTCATTCTCGACATTGCTTCAGAACTTAGTCGCTTGGAACGATGCATTGTTCACGAATAAATTTACTGTATTACAATGAATTGTAAAAATAACATGCAGAGCACTTACCTGACGATGGTAACTTACCGAATGGCATTCATTTAATCATTATTATGTCCTGCGAAGTGAAAACTCGAATTCAATAATGAAAGCTGATTTAAATGTTAATTTTTCAAATTCGTTTGCGTTTGTTGTTTTTTTGAATGTCATGAAATGGGTTTGAGGTATTTTGCAAGCATCAATAAGTTCCAAAAAATATGTGTGCCATGTTTTGATTGAAACGATTTTTGAGAATATAAACCGATCAGATGGGAATGCATCTGTTCGGTTTTGATGCGGGTAAACTTAAAATTGTAAAAAGCGGGAACGTAATCGTTTCATACATAGTTCGAAAATCTATTGACCGTAAAAAGAAATAAAAATTTTGTTAAAGTGAGGAATTTTCTGAATTTCCACTACTTGTTAACTTCCCATTTTTAATGTTTTAGAATACGTCGCTAAGTGTTTAACTAAGATTCCTTTCAAAATGGCTGTTATTTTTCAATGAAGTAAAACGTGCCTTTAGAAATCATCGAAATTATTATACAAACGATCTTAAATATGGCAAAGTTAATAGTACATATTGCTTTTTTCATCTATTGCCAGGCTGCCGCCCCAGCCGCACGTAGAGGAGCAGGACCAGCACCGAATGAAGCATTAGGTATGCATTCCACATTCTGATTTACCCCCAAATAAAATACAAATCTGCTATGTATATATATGCATATGTATATATATGTATATGTACATGTATATGATGCATTCTGCATCATTCCAGCTATTTTATTTGGGATTCTCATAAAACAGCATTTGTGGCAGAAATAATTTTAGTGGTAACTGGATTAGTTCGAATACAACTGACTTTATTTTTGCAATACAGACAACGAGAGTTACTTTAATGCTTCAGTACCTTTGACAGAAAAAAATCTGAAAAAGTCGGAAATGCAATTTCGAAGTGTTATGGATTGGTAAGTTAGGACAATAGCAATAACCATCCCAAAACTCGAAGATTCCACTTTGTTCAACAACTTTTATCAGATTTATCAGATTAGTCGTGACATTCAATTTCAGCTGCAGAAATTACGGCAGATTATAAAGCTGGTAAGTTATGGAATGATGGTCGATTAATAACGACGACAAAAGTAGAAGAATGTACGTTCATTTTATACAGAATTGACTTATGAAAATTATTCAATAGTGAATGACTAATCATTTCAAGAATTTTCATTTTATAACTCTCTAAGTTTCATTTGCTGGATCCTTTCTGTTATGGAAGCAATTTGCATAATTATTTCTATACAATGATTGTAGCAATGCTGATGAATTGTGGCGCAGCGGAATATGGAAGATCGTTTATTTTTGAGGAGAAGCCGTTTCTGTTTATGGAAAACTCTCTTAATTTGATAAAGTGAAATCAGGAGAACTGTAAATGTGTTAGTGATAAGGATTGATGTGCAAATGATAAAATAAAGAATTATTTCTTCTCATCTATCACACCAAACTTTTGGAAGAAATCCAATGCGTCATCATTCTGTAAAATTAAAAACTTTGATTTAACATTGGTATTTGAAAATTTTATAAATAAAAGATGATAAGATTTTATAGAAATATCGAAATTAAGAAAAG